CCAGCAGCACATGGAGGGAAAGGAGCTTAAGACAGAACTTGTTGTTGTTGCCAGTGCAGTCTATGAAAATAGCAACATTTCTTAACATTTTGCGCAGAAAGGTGCACAGGGACCTCAAGCTAAAGACAGCTATGAACACCGTGATGACATTCTTGAATGGCTTCCCCATGTGCCTTGGATTGGATGAACTGAACAGGCAGATGAGGATGTGTCAAGATGTTGCACAATTAAACCGGATTCAAACCTAAATGTGTATTAACGACAAAACAGTCCCCCATATTTTAAAAGGAACTAGCTACTGCCTTATACAAAACAGTAGTTTATAGAAGGAAAGCAATCATCCTCTCCATCTCATGATCAAAATAACTAATATGTTCACATTTGTGACCTGAAAACAGCTGATTTTATCCTAGGATTAGAATTTTTTACATGTTGAATTAGAATGTATAATTTTATTATGTTCATATATCCATCTGTCATGTTGGTGCAGTTTCTGTTTAAAAAGCAACCAAAATTCATTTTGGTAAAAAAAAAAAAAAAAAAAAACTGCCATGAAAAACATTTTCTCATCTTCATTTTCCCCCGGTTTTGTACAGTGAGTGTGTAGTTTTCTCTTGTTAGAAATTGTCATAAAAATATTTTTCATTTGGAGGTGAATAAATAAATGTGTGATACATAGATGGGTGTTGCCAGTTTTTTAAAGACAAGAGGAACTGGTATTGAACAGGTTTGGTTAATTGTCAATGAGTCATTAAGTCCTTGAGAAATAGTTGAAGATTTTGGAACAGTTTCTATTTTCCAAGAAAATTATGGTAATAAAGATATAATTTTAGACTTAGTCATTGCACAAAAAACACAAGGTGAATCTTGACAACGAAATGTCGCTTTAGACGGCTTTATTAATCCCATGGGGGGAATTCGTTTGAGCAGTACAGGAGACAAACAAACAAAAATAAAAATCTAATAACATAAAAAATAAGATGATTAAAAAAAGAAATGTGACAGGGAGCTTAAGAACAACATTAAAAATGATAAAAAACAAAACAAAGAGATGGTAAAAAGATAACACAGTTATCTGTTTTAGAAGAATTACAAAAAAAAAAAAACAAACCTGCCACCCTACATAGAATTTAAAAGTTGAATGACTGTTATTATTTAAAAAAATTACATAGCGGTTTATTTTACAGGGAGGCATTACATAGCGGGGTCCTGAAGGCAAAAAAGAGAATGAATTTTTGAGAACGTGTTCTGCTGAAAAGAGGACCACTTTAGCTTATTTTAGAAAAAAAATCATAATGGACAAAGGCATAAAACATGAACATATCCTTCAAATTTCAATGATTTTTGGACAATGATATGCTTCTTTTGTTTTTTATTTTAAGTTTAAATCAATGTAATGAAACAACGTCAATTAGTATTGCACTCTTCAATCATCAGAAAATTCATGCTGAAAAAAGTAACCCTCAACATCTCTGTCACAACTCTGACTGTTAGCTAACAAAAGAGAATCATGCAGCAAAGCCAGTATTTCATTGTGTGGGAGCAAAATTGGCTGCTTCTGTACCAGCACAACGGACTGGATTATAAAATCAACAGGTTTCTGAGAAGCTGGTCAAAAACAAAAGCACACCACTGTCTTAGTAGTTGGTCAATGTTGCCTTCACACTTGCAGTTAACCATCGTATCATCCAAGGAGGGAACATAAGAAGCGAAAGGGCATATCAGGAGCGGCATCTAATGCTCTAAGGCTAGACTGGAAAGCTGGTCTGTCAACGGGCCTCCATCTCAATGCACACCACATTAATTAATCTACCACACACCATCAGATCTGGCATCTGCTGAAAACACGACAGAGAGTGTTATCACATGGAGTAAAAAAACCTACATTTTTAGGCATACTTGCCTGGCTGCGTCCCCGCCAGAGTTCCTACAACTTTGTGTCCTGGTTTTGGTTCTGTTTAACTTTTCTTTTTGCGTTTTCATTGGTTTCATTTCTATTTTGTGTTATTCACTGACGTTTTCTGGTTTTCTCTATTATGTTATTTTTGGATTTTTGCCTCACTTGCCACCTTTTGGATTATTAAATCTGCAAGAAACCACTTTAACTTCCTTCTCTGCATTTGCGTCCTCTAGAAACCTCTACAAAACCTGACACTTTGCTATTGTTGACTTATCTCTAACTTGAAAGGGCTACCATTATACTCTTTCTCACTGCCCTGCCTCTATAATAATATTTAGGTCTTCATTTAGCCAGGACAGTCCTATTGAGATACAGCATATCTTCATTTGAGGAGCTGTGGTCAAGATGACAGCATAGACAAAATCTGAAACGGCTTAAAGAATGAACATAACCCAAAAGTAAAAAAAATTATATATTTTAAAGACAGTTTAATTTTTTGAAAGGGCCATCACAAGTCAAACACTAGTTAAAACACTTAAATATTTTTTTCAGTGTCATTTAAAATAATTAGAAGAAAGTGTCTTAAAGCAATGCAGTGTAACTTTAAGCCTATAAGAACGTTAAACCTGTAACTTTTAGGGCTGGTTACGTATTAGGTCAAGCTTCTGTTCCTTGCTCATTTCTTCACCTTTCGAGGGTTTTACCATAACAACACAATTCAGGGTAGGAGAGGAACTCTGGACTGCTGTGCTGAATTTGGACATCCTTTAGTCTTTATGAACATAATTACTGGTCTCAAACGCACGTGGTAAGTTTTCATGTGTCA